GTATAAAATAAAAAAATCCTTCATTTAATATTAGATCATTTTTCCTTCAGCCCACCTATCAAAAATTTGCACCAACCAAACAACATTAATGAACGAATCGGCCCAACACCGTGTCCAGGCCCACCAGAAATTTCCACATCCAGTCCATTCGTCCCATTATCCGAAAGCGCATTTTGGTTCACGTGCACGTAATTGAAGGAAATTATAAAGTGTTCTAACATGATTAACGATGACCATACAAATTATATTTTTAGGTGTGTAGTTATTTTGATCATGCAAATGACATGATCAAAGATCATCATACAAACTTAGACTAATACACATCAATCAAATTAAATTAGTCTTAATTTAGAGGTGGGATCCCTAATTTGACTAATACTAGCATTTTGGATCCCAAAAGCTAAAGGCAATTTTTTTTTTCTTTGGAAGAGAAGAAACAAGAGGGCTAAGCAATAAGACAAGGTTGAATTATTGGCAAGTGCAATAATTCAGTGAGACCAATTAGGGGCCGAGTTATTGCTATACAGGAAAATGGTAAAGTTCATAGAAGTTGAAATTTCCTCGTTAATGGTAACAAAAATAAAATATTGTAACATTTAAAATGTATTAAATTATATAATTAAATTAGTTAAGTAGAATAAATTTTTTAAAAATATGTTTAGTTTAAAAGAAAGAAAAAGAAAGAAAGAATTGCATAACTAAATTATTAAATAATGCATATACATCCTTTTTTTAAAGAAATCAAATTTTACTAAATTTTTTTTAAAAAAAAATTAGTTTCTTTTCACGTAAAATTTAAAGGAATAGTACTTATTTGAATTTTTTAATTAAAAATTTTAATTTTAAAATTATATTATTTTAACAAATTTTTATTAAAAAATTAAAATTTTTTATTTTTAAATTATAAATTAAATTATTTTTAATTTTTATTATATTTTATTAAAATAATATAATTTTAAAAAATAATTTTTTTAAATTTTTGACAAGCAAAGCGCTAATCCAAAAATTTAGTAAGTTATTATAAAATTATAAAAAGCAAAAGCAATAACTTCTTTTTTTTTTTTACAGAGTAAATGATTAGATTAGAAGGTTAATATCTGCTCTGAAAGGAACTGAACCTAAGATCAAGAGGGCATTCCACCGGCAAGCAAAAGTAATAACTAATAAGACAAGATAATTGTGTTAATGGGATGTGTTGAATTATTGGCAAGTGCAATAATGCAGTCAGGCCAATTGCAGTGCCAGTTATTGTTGGTTTTTTTTTTTTGACAATAAAAAATAATTATAATTAGTATTAGTATCTGTTTGTGCTTAAAAAGGAACAAACAATTGAAAGAGGTGCAGTTCACCTACTATCCAAGAGCAGCGTGGCCATCACTGGACCACATGGGTCTGCACAGTGCCAGTTATTGTTATACAGGAAAATGTTGAAGCCAAACGAAGATAATGATTTTATGTTATAATGACTATTTTGCCTCTATCATGGCCAAAATCATCTTCGTCTCTTGACTTGTTTCCAATGTGGTGAATTTTCGACTAACCTGACACCTCCTGCATTGACTTCAATTCCCTCGTCAAAGGTAACAAAAATGAAGTGTCGTATAATTTAAAATAAATTAAATTATATAACTGTTGGGATTGGGCCCAACATTCAATCTAGGCCATGCCCAATAGGCCCAGTCACACATCCACGGGATTGGGCTCAACATTCAATTTAGGCCATGCCCAATAGGCCCATTCACACATCCACGAGACCCAAATTGTGGAGACACACCCACGTGAGCAGTGACACGTGGTCCAATGGGATGCACTCACATACAGGCTTATGTCAGTAAATGGGGCTATAAATACCCCCAACTACCTCCATGCAAGGTATGAACTCCTCTACGCTTCTCTCTCTACAATTACTCTTTGGGAGCATCTCTCTCTAAAATATTGAGTATTACTAACTTGAGCGTTGGAGTGTTTTCCCCGAGGGAACATCCTCGGGAATTTCAGGTGTTGAAGCAGCTGAAGGTATCAATAGTGTGGATCACGAAGCTGCCCAAACATTTGGCGCAATCTATGGGAACCTGAACAAAAAAGAGTTGTGACTTAACTAGCTGAAGCTAAAAATGGTAAGAACCTTCACAGGAAACCACCTCCCATGAGGCAACATGGACGAGCAGGACAATACTCAGCTCTTGGAAAGTGATTTGAATGACTTCCAACCAATGTCGAGAAACCTTTTCATGTGAGGAGTAGAACAAGAACAATCAAATACTTTGGACGATGAACGAACACCCACTGGGTATGCAACTCAACCTGAAGAACAGTTTCATGTCCCCGTGAAAGCCAAGTTAAGGCATTCCAGGCGAAATGCTTCACGACCTGAGAGGTCGATGGAAGCTGCTCGGACGACCGAGCTAAAAGAAAGAACCAGGGTTTAGAATGGCCATGGGAAAAATCCTCTCTCGTCTGATCCTTGATGACCCCTTAATCCCTTTACTAAATAGGGGTGAACAGCCTGCTGCAGTAGTTGCCACCCGTAATTCCCCAGCTTTAAGTAATGTGGTGGTCCCAATAAAACCAAGGGGAAGTGGAAGGCTAAATCCGAAACCCAGTTCATCCAAGCATAGTGATGAATTAATGAAGAAAAACGCAGAACTTGAGATACAGTTAAAACACATATAGAGATCTGTTAATGAGCTAAAGAGTCCAAGGTCACGACAGCAATCCTTACATTTGGACAATGCTCCTCTCAATCAATCCATTACTACGGAACCATATCAGGAGGGATTTAAAATTCCCAATTTAGAAACATATGATGGCTCCGGCGACCCGGATGAACATTTACACACTTATCAAGCCATCATGAAGATTCAGAATGCTACCTATGCCATGATGTGCAAAGTATTCCTTGCAACATTGAAATCCACTGCCAGAAGATGGTATCACAAGCTCCCCAGACACTATGTAGCTTCGTACCCCCAGCTCGCCACACTTTTTTTTAACAAATTTGTGAGCCAAAGGGAGATTAAATGTATTGCTACCGAATTAATGTAAGTTCATCAGAGGGAAGGAAAGTCTTTGTGAGACTATATGCAAAGATTTAACAAAGCCACCTTGGACATTAATAATGTCCCTGATACCATCTGTTTGTCAGCCCTATTGCACGACCTGAAACCTGGTCGGTTCCTAGACGACCTACTGGAGAATCCATCGAAGTCGTGGAATGAAGTGAATGATAGGTCAGCAAGTTTCATATTGTCAGAAGACCTCCAATCATCTAAGTGGCGAGTTGACGATAAACAAAGTAAGGAGCATAAGCAGCTTGAAGCAAGGGAAAAGAAGAAAAAGCAGAAGGTGGGCGAGTAGAGAGGAAAGCCACCGTCATTCTCGAGATATGCCAATTATATCCCTCTGAGCTCGTCAAGATCTCAAATATTGACACAGATACAGCATTGGGTCAAGAGACCACCTCCTCAGACGCATGAATATCCACGAGCTGACAAGAGCAAATATTGTGACTTTCACCAGGGTTATGGTCATAACACAGATGACTGTCAGAGCTTGAAGGACAAGTTGGAATTCTTAGCTCGCAATGGAAAATTGGAAGGATATGTCCAGAAACCTTATGCCCAGCGACCCAATCAGACACACTTTGTGCAGGAATATTCCCAATCTCAAGGACAGGGACAAGGATATCAACTCAGCGGCAACCAAAATCATTACTAGGTGAATCAATATTCATCTAAATCCACCAGAGTCTACAGAGGACGCCCATTTAACCGACGAGGACAAAGACAGAAACCTTCTGCACAGCATCAAAAAGATCATAGAGGGGTTGGTTACAGCGGGATACCCCTACTGTCTGGCACAAGCAATATGATTTCGGGTGACATGCATTCAGGAGGACAAAGTACCAGAGCACGTAAGACTTACGCTCGTCAAGTGATGACAGTAGATAAAAATAGACCCTGAAACAACCATTTGAAGAAGCCGAGTGGGAGAACACACCCATCACCTTCAGTCTTGTTGATTATAAACGAACAGGGGAGGAGCCTAATATTGTGATGCCCTATGCAAACCCCTTTGTAGCAACAATGCACATAGGCAATCATAACGTCAACAAAGTCTTCATTGATACAAGTAGCTCTCCAGATATCTTATATTGGAGCTGCTTTCAGAAGATGCAATTAAACTCAGCTTCCATGCAGAGATATGAAGGGCCGATATATGGATTCAATAATCAGCCTGTTCCGGTCAAAGGGGTGATCACTCTTCCAATCTATGTAGGTACAGAGCCGCGGTTCAGGATGGCGTCTGTCAGCTTCTTGGTGGTTAAGATGGAGTCAGCATACAATGCCATAATTGGGAGAGCCACGTTGTGCAAGCTGAAAGCTGTCATTTCCCAGCCACACCTTTGTATGAAATTCCCAACTCCTCAGGGAATAAGGATGCTTAAAGGAAATCAAAAAATGGCTAGAGCATACTACCATGACACTTTCAAGAAAGTTGAACCCGCTCCAATGCCAAAACTCCTTCTCTGGTTACTAGACCAAACTAACCAGGTCTGCAGACGATGAGCATCTCTGACATAGACCATCGTCTAGAGAACGTTGAACAGAAAGCCGAACCAATTGAGCCAATAAAAACCATTGCATTAGACCCTGATAATCCAGAGAAGACGATGAAGATTGGAACTAAGCTCACAGAGAAAGAGAGAACAGAGCTCCTGCAGTTCCTAAGAGCCAACTAAGATGTCTTTGCGTGGACAACAGATGAAATGCTTGGAATTCCGGCGGAGTTGGCAGTCCACAAGCTTAGCACTGACCCGACCAGAAGACCCGTGGTGTAAAAACGTCGCCTGATGGGCCCGGAGAAGCATGCAGCAATAGATGAAGAGATACAGAAGTTGTTGGAATCCGGTTTTATTAGAGGGGTTAACTACTCACAATGGGTGTCCAATCCCGTGCTTGTCAAGAAGCCCAATGGCAAGTGGAGAATGTGCATTGACTTCACCAACTTGAATGACGCCTGCCCTAAGGACCCCCACCCATTGCCTAATGTTGAAAAGCTGGTAAAACGAGCTGCTGGTCATGAACGCATGCGTTTTTTGGATGCCAGTTCCGGATATCATCAGGTTCAGTTGTGGTTGGATAACCAGGAAAAGACAGCATTTTACGCGGGGGATGCAATTTATTGCTATGTTATGATGCCATTCGGTTTAAAGAATGCTGGTGCAACATATCAAAAGTTAGTTCAGGTCATATTCAAGCTTCAAATCGGACAAAACATTGAAGTATATGTCGATGACATGATTGTTACCAGCGTGCGAGCTGAGGATCATATTGACGATCTAAATGAAACATTTCAAAACCTACGCCGAGCGTAGATGCGATTAAACCCATTGAAATGTATGTTTGCTGTGGAATCGGGCAAGTTCCTGGGGTATGTGGTGTCCAAGAAAGGAATTGAGGTCAACTCGAATAAGGTTGTGGTTGTGCAGCAGATGGAACCTTCTAAGACAGTGCAAGATGTGCAACGTCTAACAGGTCATCTTGCCGCCCTACATAGATTCATCGTCAGGTCGGCAGAAAAGTGCCTCCCATTCTTCAGAGCTTTGCGAGAGCCAAAAAGTTTCCAGTGGACGAATGAATGCCAACAGGCTTTTGATGAGCTTAAGCAATACCTGGCATCACCACCCTTGCTTTCCAAACCTGTTGAAGGAGAAAGGTTGTACTTATATCTAGGGATAACAGATGAGGCAGTCAGTTCAATTCTGTTAAGGGAGCAAGATAAACAGCAGAAGCCAATCTGTTATATCAGCAAAGTCTTGTAAGGTGCAAAACGAAATTATCCTATTGCTGAAAAGGTTGCTTTTGCACTCGTCTGCACCGCCTAAAAGCTGAGGGCTTATTTCCAATCTCACGAAATCATTATCTACACCAACCTACCGCTAAAAAAGATATTGCAGAAACCAGAGCTTTCTAGTTGGCTAATTGGATGGGCGGTCGAGCTGAGCAAATATGACCTTAAATTTCAACCGCGCACAGCCATCAAGGGTCAAACTCTAGCAGACTTCATAGTGGAGTGCCACCCACCAACTGTAGAAGAAGTCTTGCCGGTAGGACCGGTATGGGCTTTGTTTGTAGATGAGGCTACAAGCGTTGAAGGATCAGAGGCAGGGGCAGTGCTTATAGGGCCAAACGGTTTCAAATCTGAGCAAGGGTTGAGATTCAGTTTTAAGACCATGAATAATGCTGCCGAGTATGAAGCACTCATTTATGGTCTGAAGTTAGCATCCGACCTGAGAGCGCAGCACATAAGAGTCTTCAGTGACTCCCAACTTGTAGTAAACCAAGTAAATGGAAGTTGTGATGTTAGAGACCCTCAGCTCGGTCGCTACGCCTCTATGGTTAGCAAGATGAAGGCGAAATTTATTTCATTTCAGATTGATAAGATACCAAGGGCAGATAATAGACGAGCTGATGAGTTATCAAAGCTGGCTTCGTCACACGATATCAACCCTCATAGGACGACAATTGTTGAGATCCTGGATGCACTGAGCTACACTGACTTGAGGGACGAGTGCCTGCTATTGAGTACAGATCCCTGATCACCGAGCTGGACTACACCACTGATTAATTACTTGCGAAGTGGTGAATTGCCTAAGGATCCATCTAATGCTCGATTGATTAGGCATAGGGTGGCACATTTTACTATAATCAATGATCAGTTGTATAAACGAGCAGCTTCAATGCCCCTACTACGCTGTCTCACTCCCTAGGAAGCTGAATACGCGGTGATAGAAGTTCATGAAGGAGTATGTGGTACACATATAGGAGGAAAGACCCTAGCTTGAAAAATTTTAAGACAGGGGTTTTACTGGCCCACCATGGTCGAAGATGCACAAAGTTACGTTAAAAAGTGTCCAACCTGCCAGTTTAATGCTGATGACATTCACATGCCAGGTATCTGAACTCGTCCAATGCTTTCCATAACCCCCTCTCTTGTCTTTAAACTAAACAAAAATATCCTCATATACAACGAAAATGTTATCTTCTCTCACATCGCCCTGGCCTTTCGCTCAATGGGGCGTTGACCTCCTCGGACCCTTTATCAAAGGCAAAGGAGGCTGCACACACCTCGTTGTCGCTGTGGATTACTTTACCAAATGGATAGAAGCCAAACTGTTATCCACGACAACTGAAAGGAAGATTGAGGAATTTCTATTCAATTCCATATTATGCAGGTATTCTTCAGCTGATTAAACCTTATATATATCGTGTTTGCATATTCAGTGGCTCAGCCAAAACGTTTATGTACAGGTTCGGCATTCCTAGATGAATCATTGCCGATAATGGACCTCAATTTTGAGCTGCGGCCCTCAGGTCGTTTTGTAATGATTACGGTAATGAGCTCTCCCTTATGTCTGTCTACACCCCACAGTCCCTTGGACAAGCAGAGTCAGCCAATAAGATCGTTCTGCGAGGACTTAAGACACGTGTCCTAACCACACACTCCAACTGGGTTGACAAGCTCAACAAGGTGTTATGGTCATGCCGTACAACTCCCAACTCGACTACGGGAGAGACCCCATTCTCCCTTGCTTATAGGACTGAGGCCATTCTTCTTGTGGAAGTAAGTTTATCCACTAGTCAATCTGCTCGGCCTGATCATCCTGATAACGAGCAACTCCTAAAAGAAAACCTAGACCTAGTGGAGGAGGTTAGAGAAATATCTAGGATTAAAAACATGGTGTATCAAGGTCGCGTCGCCAGGTTTTACAATAAACGAGTGCGAGCTCGTCAGTTTCAGGTCGGTGACTTAGTCTTACGGAAGGCTGGACTCACTAATGCGTATTTGCACATGGGCAAGCTCGCTCCTAATTGGGAAGGTCCTTACATGGTTACTTAAATCAAACGACCTGGGTCCTACATTTTAGCAGATTCACAGGGTCGACAGTTACCATTCACATGGAACGTTCATAATCTTAGGAAATATTATAGTTAATTTGTATTATTACTGGACATATGGAAAAGATGAACAATGTATGAATGTAATGCAAATGATACACACAATATTCCAGAAAATTCTCTAGTTGTATTTCTTGCAAATTTGTTACATGTAATATCAAAGCAAGTACAAAAACTGTCCTAGACATGGAAATATTAAAACTACAAAGACAAAAGCAAAATATAAAACCTAATCCTAATCATCTGTTAAATCAACGGGAATGGACGCGTCAGCAGAGCTGGAGAAGGAATGGTAGCAACAGGGACAGGCTGAGGTGCAGGTGGAGTGCTTGAGGGTTCAGCTTATTCTGCAGGTGCGTCACCTGCCCAGGAATCGAACCTAGGCAGGTTCTCAAAATCTTCTCCCTCTTCTAAAATGGATGGAGGCCGTATAGGCACTCCATCTTTGTTCATCTCCCACCGGTGTCGCACCGTGGTGTCAGCAGGGGAAGCAAGGCTTTTCCCCTCTTCATCAAACTCCTCACCCTCAAAAAACGCCAACTTGCCAATTGGAAAGTTTGGTCGGTGCTTCAACACTTTCCCACGAACGTCATTATAAATCTCTATCGTGGTGTTCATGGAAGCCACAGCAACAGCATCCTTAAACATGTCAGCACCCACCAGCCACTCCGCGTCTTGAGCTCGCACAATGCTTATGCAGCGCTAGTGTTGAGTTTTGGCTTTCCTCAGCCCTTCCTCTACTTGAGTAAGGTCCTGATCAGCCACTGCTACTTGTTGTCTAAGAGTGTTGAGTTCATTCAGAGTGCTGTCTCTTTCAGCTTCAGCCTTCTGCGAGCGATCCACCGCACGAACGACCTCATCCAGGGCCGCCTGGATCCCACTCTCTTTCTTGACCTGAACCTTCTCCAGCTCCTCCTTTAGCTGGTTGACTTTGTTGGCCAACTCATCAGCTCGGCTCTCGGCTGATGCAGCCTTGTTGGCCATCTCTGAGCTTTGCAAACGGTTCACCTCATCCTCCAAGCTCGCCTTGTCAGATGTCAACCACTTGCAACAGTCCTGCGAGCTGCCTGTTCGCTCTCAAACAAATTCACTGAATAGCTTAACGCCTATAACAACATTTCTACAGTCAGCATTTAATACAAAATTAATGCAGCAAATAACATGATTATTTAACAAAAATATTCACATCCATCAGCTTCAACATGACAACGTGACTCTCATGCTACTGAATATAGCCCTTGGTGCGTTGACGATCAGTAGGGGGAACAAAATTCTGCATACCCTGAACCATGGTGAGCTGACAGTCGACTTTAGTATAGCTAAAGCCCTCAGGGTATGTGATTCTGGGGCCCATGCTAGCTGCTGGTGTGGGTAATGCCTCAGCAGTGTTGTGCGCCTGGGCAACGGGCGTGTCAGGTGAGCGCACTGCTCCAGATTGACTCCCAGAGTTCAATCTGCGCCAAATCAATGGTACGTCATCTTCAACATTGGAGTCTTTGCGAGCACACCTCCAAGTCTCAATAGAAACTGCTTCTACTCTCCGCTCGGCGTGTGGCCATGAAGCCGAGCTGGAGCCTCGCTCTCTTTGTGATGAGCTGCGAGGAGCTGTAGGCGATCGCTCGTCAAAGCGCGTTTGCCATTGCGTGCTAGACCAAGCCCCTCTAGCTCGTGAGCGTTGAGCCCGTTCACGTTGTCTCTTGAGCATGCTACTCATATCTCCTGCACAAACAAATGCAATAAGACTCAGATCGTGAAACACTGTAATTTACAATAGAAATGTACCTTCACTGAACAGGTTTGCAACATCCACAAACCCGCGCACAGTGAGCACCTCAAGGGTAACCAGGGCCTCCAAATCAATTAACCCCACTGCCTTTACATAGTTTGTTATTCTATCCTTAAACTCCAGATCGTCAGGAGTTAGCGTGGGGTAGTTCATGTAAGTATGCCCTAAGCTCCATCTACAGAAGCGAGTTGCCAGATCGTTGTTGACCCTCTCTATTCGTGTATCTTGGACAAAAATAAATTGTCTCTTCTATCGGGACACCTTATTCCTCACGTTCGTAAAAATCACCATTTTCTCTCTCCCAGATATGTAGTACCACCTCGTTTGAGTGGTACTCAGTCGGCACAAGAACAGCGATCTGGATACAATTGCCTTTGCAGGTATCTCTAACCTTGCACACAACAGTATAAATCCTATAATAAATTTTATACTGTTGGGGGTCAACTGTGTCAACGCCAGCTTATACTCCGCGAGCACGTCAAAAATTAGCCCGGGCAAAGGGAGTCGCAAGCCAGCATCGAAGTGATCCACATACACGGGTATCCACCCTGTTGGTGACACTGTGCAGGCCCTTTCGTTTTTTGTGCCAGTTCAGAGCAAAATTGTTCTGGGAACGTGATACTGCCTCACTATTTCCTCCAATCTTTTGTATCCTTTAATGGAGGTGGCGCAATCTGCTACCTCATGATGAAGGTTTGCCCTAAACCTAAATCCAGCAGCCAATGTATGTGGGGCCTTGCGAAGGTTGCTCAACCTACCACTTATAATCTTATTCTCCCAACCTACAACCACGGGCACATCCACATTCACCTCCACAGTTTCCAGCAAGGGATTACTTCGCCCTCCCCCACATCTTTTCCAGCACTGGGAGTCTTCTCTGATGACGACCCTTTAGATGGCGAAGAATGATTAGCATCGAAGCCCTCGTGTGCACTCGAACTGGCACTGTTCTCGGGTGTAAGGGTTTTCGGCAAGTCTTGCAATTCCGGCGGTACAATCATCGCAATCGGCTCTACGGACATAACACCCTCTTCCTCTTCCATGCCCTGGTTACCCCGGAGTTCTCCAACTTCTCTAAAAAACTCCATTTGTTATTACCTGAAAGAATTGAATCTAAAATCCTCTGAAATTTCGCCTGAAAAGTTTTGGAGTCCTTTGCTGCAGAAAAGTGCAGAGAATATGGAAACAGAAATGCCAAAGGAGAAAGAGAAATGACAAGGGGGTTAAGCTACCGTGCCCATGATTACCGTATGCGCCTCTCTGCCAACCAATCACAATTCTACGCGTGGCAACTATTTATAGCCTGGTGTGTAACGTCCACCGACTTTAGCTGTCACGTTTCTTCAAACGTTGAGCCAGCATTTATTGGGGGGGCTGAGGGATACTAACCGCTCTAAACCATATCTCTTCAGAGATTTTGTCTTACATTGAAATTTAAATTTCAAAATTGACAAGGATCAAGTCGTAACAAGTCACACCCCCAGATATTTCTAAGCCACAGAAATCAAGTCGTAACAAATCACACCTCCCGGATATTTCCAAATCTCAGAGATCAGGTCGTAACAAGTCAGATATTCACCTCAGTTTTGAATATCGAAGAATACCGGACGTTAGATCGTTACCAATTCCAGAGATCCACATTGTGGGACGATTGAGGTCGCTCATTTCAGTTTGTCTTGGTATTCACATTCTATCAATGTTGTTTCAGTTTATTCTCTTAAGAGCAGGACGGCCTCAATATATAAAAGCTTTAAAGGCTGGAATGGCTCAGCTCGTCCACCGTTTGCTCGCCTTCACGTTGCTATAGGTGAGCTCGCTACATAACGTATTGTACCTTATATACAACGCACGCTTGGCCAAGAGACTTTACCTCGTCTCAAACCTATCTCATTTGGAAATAGGAAATCCATCACGCGACCTCGCCTCTACGAGCTTGTTGAGCTCGCTGGCAAACACCGAACTCGCATGACTTGTTTCGACAGCAGTTTCCCTACACACATTCAATATGAAGGAAGCATATCTATACACGCCTGACGAGGCCGCCTAATTTGGCCAGAGGCCAGATCACTCATCAAAATTTGAAGGGGTTTACCCTTCACCTTTCAAACAGAACATTGGGCCAATAGAACCTTCATCCCAGTTCGTCAACTGAACGCTGAGGGGGGAGTAATGTTGGGATTGGGCCGAACATTCAATCTAGGCCTTGCCCAATAGGCCCAGTCACACATCCATGAGATTGGGCTCAACATTCAATCTAGGCCATGCCCAATAGGCCCATTCACACATCCACGAGACCCAAATTGTGGAGACACACCCACGTGAGCAGTGACACACGGTCCAATGGGATGCACCCACATGCAAGCTCATGTCAGTACATGGGGCTATAAATACCCCCAACTACCTCCATGCAAGGTATGAACTCCTCTACGCTTCTCTCTCTACAATTACTCTTTGGGAGCATCTCTCTCTAGAATATTGAGTATTGCTAACTTGAGCGTCGGAGTGTTTTTCCCGAGGAAACATCCTCGAGAATTTCAGGTGTTGAAATAGCTGAAGGTATCAACAGTGTGGATCACGAAGCTACCCAAACAATAACTAAATTATTAAATAAAAAGTTAATTCTCCTAGAAGTATAGTTGATTTGAAAGGAAATGAAAAGAGAGGAAAAAAAGCTGTGTTCTTAATCAATGGCGCATATTCATTTTCATTTAAAGAAGCCAAATTTTACTAAAATATAAAACTAGTTTATTTTCATGCAAAATTTAATATATTATTATAAAATTATAAAAAGGCAAAAGCCATAGGCCAAGATAAGATAATCAGGTTTGTGGGATGTGTTGAATTATTGGCAAAGGCAATAATGTAGTAAGGCCCACTGCGGGGCCTAGTTGCTACTGATACAGGAAAATGATAAAGCTACATAGAAGAAGTTAAAATTTTCTGTCGCAAGGACCATTTTACCCCTGTCATGACCAAAATCATCTTCGTCCCTTCTTCCAATTTGGTGAAGTTTCGACGACACCACTCTCCTGCATTGACTTCAAGTCAAGTCCGTCGTCAATGGTAATTTTTTTTTTTTT